AACAATTCAAGATCAATTGGTGGTGGCATTGTGGGTGGTGGTAGATTTGGTTGTGGGCTTGGCGGAACCGGACAACTTGGTGATGCGGACAACTCGGTGATCGATTACGTTAGAGTTTTTTTTGATGTCTCTTCTAGCTAAAGAGCTGGACTATCTTAAAGAGTACTAGAAATAGGCTATTTTGGTGAGGATTTCGGCGCATTACGCGCACGGACACGGTACATGTGTCCGCCTGTTTGTAGAATAACTGTAACGGGGTTACAGTGCCGTAGTGAAGTAGGCTGTCACGTGTCGGGACGATGGCGCTAACCCGTCGGGACGCTAGCGTGATACGGGCGAGAGTGCATAGATAATCGGGCACACAATGGCTAGAGAACGGTAGCAATTAATCTTACGAGACAACCCCCCTACTGCTACGGAGCTCGCTGTCACACATACCCTTACACTAACGCATTTTGATCAGAATACCCAGAACTACTCACCGCCGTTCCTCGAACGATTGCATCGCTCGCTCATTGACCCATAGAGCCTAACATGTCCAACATGGGTCGGCACGAGGATAAGGAGTTGTGCTATTGTGTTTGTCCAGCATGCGTTCAGCTACGGGCCATATGCTTTGCTTTCGCGATACTCTCATCCGCCTAGCTCGAGCTGGGCAAACAACGTTTGGCTAGAGACGGTGATCTACGATCAAAGTCAGCAGGATGAGCCGGCCAATGAGTAAGCATCGACTATGACTCTGCGCAATCAAGTGGCGTTACTGACTTTCGAACAGTTGGCACAGAGATCGAGAGAGGGAGGCTTTGCATCGGCTATTCCAGAAAGGATGGTTGCTGGAAATGGTCGATCACAGCGTGGAGCAAGATATCGCCGCAACATTCGGTTTTGAAACGCCAGAGCGCGCAATCGACTCGTGCGATGCATTCAAGAACGGTCGTCTGATATTTGGTGACATATAAGAGACCCAAGACTTGGCCGAGGGCGTTCCTCCTCTGCCGCAATGTTCTCGCCGATGGCGGATAGGAGTCTCGAGCTATGCGACCCCTTTTAGAGTACCAGAGAGGACCAAGGAGCAGCCCACGAAGATCCTCTGTGTGAGTGCGAAGTCGGCAAGTTCAGCACTGATCAGCCTTATCAGCATCAGCAGTAGGTACATCGGAATGTAATGCAATCTCGCCAAAGTCGCCACTCGAAGTGTAACACGAGGATCGTGTAGACATTATTAACTACTTTCTGAGAGGTATGGTCCTGCGCGTGTGACAGGGATTACTGCCTGTCTGGGCCGCAGCACAGCGAGGTGAGGATTTCTTTCTACCCTGGCAAACCTGCTCATCCCTAGCGCTTCGATGCAGAGAAGCTCATATGCAATCCTTTTCTTGTGGCTTTCAATACCGATCACTGATTGGTTTGCGCGCTACGCCATGATACTGGTGGTGATGGTCAGAGTGATGTACAGAGGACGTTGTGGACACGGTCTTCCCCGCAGAGATCGTGCAGCCATGCGGCGTCAGTGCTTTCCGTAGCGCGAAGTCCTTTCCTTCGCGCAATTGCCAGCCACAATACCATCATCATGCCTCAACTGGCGCCGTCTGCTGTGTCGTAACCGTTATCACGAAGCGCTTGCTCGATTTCTGGTTGGAGGTGGTCACAATGGAACCTTGATATCCTGCCACTTTGGCACCAAGCCCTTGGCTACCATCGCCCGCGGCTTGATTAGGAAGTTCATTATTGTAACACCTTGGCGGCCCTGGGCACTCTCCCGCCACTGCAAGGAAGCTTCCACCATCTTATCTTTTCCATCTTAGCATGGGCTTGGAGACTCTTTTTCGAACGTTCTAACGGCGGATCGTGGCCACATCGCTGCATAGATTGGCGTTGACTTTCCTACTCTCCTCCCTTTCTCGTCGTAAACCCGGGGGCCTCATTACGGGCTGGGCTTGTCCCACGGCCTTGGGTGCCTCGAGAAATGCGCTTAGCAACGGTACCGAGCTAAAGCAACGCTTCTGTGATCCTTCGATTGTACGAGGCGCAATTCCAACGTCTTGGGTGCCTCGTTGGAGTATATGGCCGGTGATAACAGGCCAGAATAACAAATGACTTGCCTTTGAGAGGTGGAGACGCATCCAGTGTCGCGTGTAATATCCTTGTGCAACTCCGGGCTATCGTACTGGCCTGGACCAGTGCATTGCGCATATATGAAGAGGGGCATCGCCAGCTTCAACCACCAGGAATCAGTCGTGTGGGTTCTTCTGACTTACACCTCCTTGTGCAAAGGGTCTTGCCGAGATTGAGTAGCACGCCATAGCGCGCCTCCTTGCACCTTTCCTCCCTACCCTTTGCAGTTCCAACCGCCAGTCCATCACCGACCACAATGGCTGTCAACGTCAACACCAAGGCCAGCCTCGAGATCACGAAGGGCGCAACGGCCCTCGATCCGATCCCACTCGATGTCAGCGAATCCCACTCGGTTCATGATGAAGATGAGAGGCTGCTAGGCCCTTTTCCCACTGAGGAAGAGTGGGCAACCCTTCCCCGTGTGGCTGGTCGCATCCCGTGGACGGCCTGGACTGTCGCCAGTGTCGAATTCGTTGAGCGTTTCTCGTACTACGGAACAGCCGCTGTCTTCGTCAATTTCATTCAGAAGAAGCTTCCCCCGGGCAGCAAGACCGGTGCTGGTTTCCTCAAGAAGCCCGGATCCGGTGCGCTTAACATGGGCCAGCGAGCTTCAACCGGAATGACGACCTGTAAATTCCTCTAGTTTGTCTTCACCAAAGATCGACAACTAACTTGAAGCCAGTTAATCAGTTTTGGTCTTACTTCACACCACTGTTTGGTGCCTGGATTGCCGACGAGTACTGGGGTCGATATAAGACTATTCAATGGGCGAACATCATCTCGATCATCGGCCACATCATCTTGATCTTCTCAGCCATCCCTCAGGTTATTGTCAAACCAAAGGTTGCCATGGGTATCTTCTCCGTTGGTCTCGTCATCATGGGCATTGGTACCGGTGGTTTCAAGTCCAACATCTCTCCTCTCATCGCCGAGCAGTACAAGAACCAGAAGGCCTACGTTCGCACCAGGAAGGACGGCAAGAAGGAGATTGTTGATCCCGCTACCACCACCGCGCGTATCTACATCTACTTCTATATGCTTATCAACGCTGGTTCGATCACTGGATCCCTCGCTATGGTGTACTCTGAGCATTTTGTTGGCTTCTGGCTGAGCTTCACCCTGCCGACCATCTGCTACCTTCTCTGTCCTCTCATCCTCATGTACTTCAAGAAGACTTACAAGCTGACGCCTCCTACCGGCTCGGTTATGGGCAAGGCATGGAAGCTTATCCGCTATGCGTTCAAAAGGAGCGACCGCAAGAATATCCTTAAGGACCCTCTGTTCTGGGACCGTATCAAGCCTAGCGAGATGCGAGCCCGTGGCGAGTCCCTTCCGGCTTTCATGACTTTCGACGATGCCTGGGTTGATGAGGTCCGTCGTGGTGTCCTTGCTTGCAAGGTCTTCCTCTGGTACCCTCTGTACTGGCTCGCCTACAACCAGATGATGAACAACCTTGTCTCTCAGGCCGGCACAATGAACTTGGGCAGTACACCCAATGACATTGTTGCTAAGCTGAACCCAATCTTCATCGTCATCGTCATTCCGATCATGGATCTCATCATCTACCCCGCTCTCCGCAAGGCCGGCGTCGTGCTCTCGCCCATCAAGAAGATCACCGCTGGATTCGCTCTTAGCTCTTTGGCTATGGTATCAGCTTGCGTTACCCAATACTATATCTACAAGATGAGCCCTTGCGGCAACCAGATCAACAAGCTCACCAAGGCTGGCAAGGACTGCAGTGCTGACATCTCGGTCTGGGTTCAGGTGTTCCCTTACGGCCTCGTCGGTATGTCTGAGGTGCTTGCCTCCATTACCAAGCTGGAGTACGCATACACCAAGGCTCCTGCGAACATGAAGTCCACCATCCAGGCTATCGCTCTGTCTACCTCAGCGGTCTCTGCTGCTCTTGGCCAGGCCCTTGTCGCTCTGTCTGACGACCCTCTTCTCACCTGGAACTACGGATCCGTCGCTGTCATTGCTGCCATCGGTGGCATTGGCTTCTACTTCACCTTCCGCAAGGCCGATGCCGAGGAAGACGCTCTGAACAACCTTAAGAAGAGTGAATACCTTGGTGGTAGGGGCCAAGGTGATGCTGAGCACGTCGAAGTCCACAGCATCAGGGACGAAAAGAACGAGAAGTACTAAGCTTCTCTTAATTACTTCTCGACCTCGAGGGTAAAGATGATATATGATTGATGCGAGATTATACCCAGTGTAGCCTGTTCGTAAAAGAATGGATGTTTTAAAGAGCAGACTTCACAAGCCTTGCCGTTCCCCGTGCATGGTTGTATTCAAAAGATAACCCGATTGTACAAGGCGCTTTCCCGTGAATTGCAGGCCACCTGAATTCGTTAGGAGTGCCCGAAGGCGTAGAAGGACCTTGGCAAGGCTGACGCCGCAAGCTGACCCCGGGGCCACGCCATCGGTGCCCCCACTAACCTTGCTGAACGTTCTCGCCGCACATCGATTGTGACACCTACCACGATCGTCGAAAACACCGCTGCAGATGTTCTCTAAACCTGTCAGCATAGATGGTATTGATGCACAACTCATGAAATTAGCTCGAGTGGCGCTCGCGACGAGTATAACATAAGAGCCCCTCATTGCTGCTACACGCTGACTGGGACGTCTCTCTTTTCGTCCTAGCGAACTTCTTCGGCGTTTGTGCCCAGGGTAATGACATGATATACCACTCGGACAACGGTGCTGTGCGTATCTCCAACTCCACCTACGATTACATTGTCGTGGGAGGGGGAGCATCAGGACTGGTCGTGTCGGAAAGGTTCGTTGAGACAGGCAGGTCGGTTCTCGTCTTGGAACGTAGTGGAACTTCTCTGCATTCATCAAGAGGTGATGCCCTTACGTCCTGGAACAATACGCTCACCGCGTACGATGTTCCCAGTCTGAACTATGCGCTGCGACTATGGCCTGGACTCAACTCATGGTGTACCGACATCCCTGCAGAAGCACAAGCTGGCTGTATACTTAATAGAGGAACCGCAGTCAACAGTATGCAGTAAGTTCGGCCACCAAGCTCAATTCCGGTATCGGTCCAGCAGATCAGATCAACATCGTGAGGTCCGGCTCTACCAAAAGCACCTTTCCATCGAGAGAAAATGGATTGAGTCGCCGGTCGGCTTTATTCAAGATCATACGATCGTTATCATCACGTCCAATGTTCCCGGAGGCACGAATACTTAATCAGACCGAATCCGCCCATCCTAGTCAAGAGATACTTGGCCTCTACGCCCACGGTTCTGGACCTCTTGCGCAGTCCTGGAAACCGTTTGATGTCTTACTCGATCGTCACGAACGGTGATGGCTATGAAACCTCTATTAAGACGCACGCAGCCGCACTAATGAATAGTACAGTGCAATTTCTCGAGTCCATTACACACAACTCTACCTCAACCGGCACCCTAAGCATCACACCCGAGGGCAGCACAGAATTGACAATGAAACCTTATCTACAGTCGGACTCTGACAAAGAAGCGATGATAAAAGCCATTCCCGTTTCTGCGTGTACTTTGCTGTACCGCTTCCCTAGTTCGTCTGCACTTATACCTTCCAATTGCTCCTGTAGACCACTCTCCAAGTGGTCCATCCCGTCAGTGTTTCATGCTCGCCAATTCCCCAGTCTCCACCTGCTTGCTGGCCCCCACCCGGAATCCGCTTCTGCACTTCCTTGTTCTTGTTCGATGTCGACGGACGACATGTCCACATACGTATCTCCGTTTCTTCTCCTCCCGGTGGCAAACAACTTTACCTGCAACATCTGTTCCAGGTCCGCAATTTTATCCTCCAGCTCTTTGATCTTGGCAACTGCTATCTCATTATCTCGTTGATGCGTTTTCAAGAACGATCTAGCGGTATCAAGATCGATCATAGCCGTTTTTGCCGTCTCGGCGAAGTCCCTCAACTGCTTTTTCAAAGACTCGTTTTCGCTCTCCAATGTCAAATTTTGGCATTCTGACGCACTCAGCTGCTGCCTCAGCGTCTCGGCCACATTCTCAATCTCTTCGTTTTCCTCTTGCGCGACTTTGAGTGCCTCCAATGCAACGCTCTCAGGTTCTCGAGCGTCTTCCTTTCCCTGCACAGCGGCATCCTGTTTTGGATCCGCGTTGTCAAGTAATTCTTTGAGTTTCCCAATCTCCTGCTCATATGTAGCCTTGGAGTCAGTCGGCTGGTTTGTGACCTTGTGAAGCTCCGCCAAAACCGTTTGCGACAGTACGATCATGTCTGTGTCCTCAGTGTGATGACATGTATACACTGGATAGGTAGTTTGCAGCCCTTCACGATTCTCGAACGTGATGTCGACGTCTGGGTTCATCTTCATTGGTGTGCATGCCTGGAGGTTCTCAGAGCATTCTGAAGGAGTGCAGATGACGCCGCCTGGAGGTATACAACAAGGTGTTGGAGCTCCCTGCTCGAGCGCGGTCGACACCGGTTCTCCCAGAAGGCCCTCATATCTCTCGATGAGCGCCTTGATTCTTGCTGCGTCTTCGTCAGACAGATATATCAGCTTGGAGGTCTCCAGCTCGTCTTGAATTCCATCATCGAGCGACAGTGGTGGCGTTGGCGATGACGACGGTGAAGAATCCACCACAGTTTCGCTGAAAGACAGATCAGCAAGCTCAGAGACCTCCAGATGATTTTGATGCTCCCTATCGGAAGATGGCGATGGTGAGGGAGTTACCGTCGAAACTCTTGATTCATCCTCTGAAGAAAAATCAGACAGCATGGAGGCGTTCGAGTCTGTATGAGGCTCTCCGTCGGACAAAGCATTATCCTTCCTGTCGGTGGGTTCGACTGCACGCCTGGTCTTGCGTGCAGATGCGGTATCGCTGGCTCTGGCCTGGGAAGAAGTTGTGCATTGTGCATACCCGGGGATCTTCTTGGCCGACATGCTCATGTTTCTGCAATAACGAGGGTATGCTAATGTATTGGAGGATTTTTTTCAGAACCTTTTGATATGTGAAGACTTGAGATATTTGGAGAGTTAGAAACAAATCGCTTGAAGATTATAAAAAGGGTCTAGAGTGGAGCCTGGGGATAGTCAGCAAATTATACAAACCATGGTAAATATACCCAACACTACCAACAGCGAAAATTTCGCTGCCTGCATTGGACCAAACTTTGAGTGACCCTTTGCGACTGATCGCATGACTCTTGCCCAACTTTTGTAACCCACACTAAGCCTATCCTCCACCGCAGTTTTCACATCAGTATAGATTCTTGTCCTCAAAATTACACACCCCCAACTCCAGCAAGAATTCTCGAAGACCTTCAGGCTGCACCGAGTTCCACTTTCCCAACACTTACTCAGATTCACACTTCAGTCCTCCAGGAAGACTCGCAAGTTTTGTGAAACTCATCGTCCTTTAGGATTGTTCGAATACCTCCATCCTTCACCATCTCTCGATATCCCCACATTCACCCGGCTACACTTTGCACCTTCACTGACAGCTCTTCCCAAGTCTCTCAGCTTCATCAATCATTTCAACGTCTTGAATACCTCCAGCACTCACCATGGCCCCTCACGATTCCACAACTAGTAGCCGAGCTCGAAGCTCGACCCCTAAGTCGCCCAACCCCTCCCCAGCATCTCCTCTACCTTGCTCTCAGGAACTTGTCACCAAGGCCGTCGGGAAGGCTGCCGTCACATTGAGCGTTCTACAAGAACAACTTGGGCGCCTCCAGGCTGATGTAACGGAGTTGATCTCTCCCACGACTTGGTCGCATGCTTCTTCACCCTCCTCTTCCGATTCAGCTCTAGACGAAGATGAAAGTATGAGCCCGGAAGACATCAACCTCGCAGTCGCCAATATGCGCTCCAAGAACCCTGCACCAGCTCCAAAGGAGGATGAGAGCGCGCAGGACATCACGCCTCTCTACTCCATCCAAGCCCCCTCAAACACATACCACGTCCACATCTGCACGCACTGCACCGAAGACCAGATCATCGTCCCCGAACGACTGCTCGTCGAAATGCAGACCAAAATTGCCGACCTGGCTTCGCGAGGTCTGCGGTTGGTGACAGAAAAAGCGGCAGCCGTTCAAGATGTCAGGGTGGCGAAGAAGGAAGTGAGGGTGCAGGGGCGAAAGATGAAGCAGATGGTGAACGAGAAAGATCTGGAAAATCAGGTGATTGAAGATTTGCAAGGTCATTTGAGGGCGAGTTGGTGGGAGGTTGCGGCGTTGAAACTGCAAGTCAGTGCGGCGGAAGGACGGGTGCAGTGTCTGGAAGACAGAGTGCGGACATCGGAACGTCAAGTTGCAGATGTTCAGAAGGCGGCTGATGAGAGAGCTGAGGGCGTCGTGACTTCACCGCACACGACTGCAAAGGAAATAGATGCGCTGAAACAGGGATTGGAAAAGTCTGAGAGCGATAAGCGGAACTTGGAAAATACAGTCAGGGATCTGTCAGCAGAAAATGCACGTCTGGCCAATGTAGAAGCAGACTGCCAAGCCCTCGTGGAGATGCGGGAGGTTCAGGAGCAGGATCTGGAGCAGGAAAGAAAAGCTTGGAGGCCTTCGGGCCAGGAGGCAGTGGCCAGACAGATGCAAGAGCTCGAGAGGCGAAACGAATACCTCGAGGAGCGGCTTATGCTGTACGACAGAGAATGGGCAAGCGCGTATCTGCGCAGTTCAGTGACGATAGAACACTTGCTGACCACCTCCACGGGTCGTAATAGAAGCCGATGGAACACGAGTAATTTGAGTTTACGAGGGCCTAGGAGACGGGGTAATGAGGAGACAGGGTCACCGGAGTGAACCATACGACGATGATGGCGGCTGTTCGGGGAATATAAGGCGCTATCGCGTTGTTGTTATTGCATTTGTAGAAGTTTATGTTTGGAGACTACGAACCATTTTGTGTCCTACCTGAACGCCTGTCGACTTATATTATCGCCTCCAAACCAAACTTTTCCCTTTTGTCCAAACACGGCTACACCTACCATTGAGGCCTTGGGTCAGTCTGTAAGAGCCAACCATCACTCTCATGAGGGAAGCTGCATGGAACATTCGGACATTGACCGAGGATGTGCTTAAGGCTGCATCGCCATCTGAAGCATTTCTCATTGTTCTCCGTGCAGTGGCGGCAGCGAGCCTTATTATCACAGGTGATGTTCTTTGCGTAGCATTCGGAGCAGCCCAGGACGAGGGTGGAGAGCTTGGTGTTCGGTTGGGGCAAGACCAGGTGCGCGGCACCGCGGAGGGCTTTGCCGTCGTTGGAAGCACGTAAGGTACGTTGCTTGTAGTCTTCAACGGTTTTCTCTTGATTCTTGAGCTTGGCGCGGAAACGGTCACACTCGCTGCTCTTCTCGCGCAGCAAATCCTGAAGGTCGCCGACCTGGTTGAGCTTACGCCGAAGGTCTTCAACGTGGTCTTCGAGCTCACCGACCTTGGTATGCTCGGTTGCGTACTTCTCTTGGGTAGAACGAAGTAGCTTCTCGCGCTGGTTGAGCTGGTGAAGACGGTTCTGCGCTAAGGTCTTATACTCGTCAGTGTTGGAGTGGCTGTTGGCTGCCGTATCCCTGGATTGCCTGAGTGCCTCCTGGAGGTCTTCAACCTTCCTTGAGAGGGTCTCGACTTCGCTTTTCTTGACATCGGTCAAGTCAGAGAGAAGACGCGAGTTGCCGATCCTGTCTTCTCTTAGGGTAGCCTGGAGGTAGTCACGTTCTGCAACGACATCGTCGTAGCCTTTGGCTGCGCTTGCTGCGGACTCTAGTCGCTCACGAGCGCTCTCCAAGTCCAGCTGCAATTGCTTGATCTGAATGTCCTTCTCCGACAGAGTTCGAGCCATTGTAGCCTTCTGGACTTTGTTGCTCTCGTTTTGGTACTGGAGCTTACCAATCTGCGTCTCTAATTCGGCCTTGTAGTCGTCAACCTGGGATGTGGCCTTCGGCTTCTCGAGGCGCGCGATCTTGGTTTCCAGCGCCCGCTTCTCCTCCTTGAGTGCCTCTAGGTTTCTACCCATGGAGTCCCAAACATGCATGGTAACACGCACGACGGGGTCCTCCGGCAACGCAGGCTTGGTCGACGCGGCTGGTGTAGGCGGAGAAATCGGTCCCGTGCGTACGGGAAGTGCTGCAGGGAGCTCGAAGCCTGGAAGCAGAGGCTCGACCGTGCGGTTGCGCTGCTGAACTGTTGCGTTGTTGTCGTCGTTGTCATCGATTGGGAGGTCCTCAAGCTCTTGAAGCACCGACTCAAGGCGCTGCATGTCCTTCTGTCTGTACTCGGGGGAAGGCGACGCCACTGCAGTGTTAGGTGAGTGAGCCTGATCCTGGAGATAAGCTGCGACTGAGCCATCAGCACGATACGGCCTCGCCAATGGTGAGAGGATGCTGCTGCCGCTGCCCACACGGCTGGCGAACTGCATGCCTGGAGAAAGTCAGTACACTGTCACCATCAAAATGTGCTGTGAGCTCACCGTTGGTAGCAATTGACAATGATGGCCTCGGTGAAGGAGGGGGAATTGGCGTGTACGGCTTCTTCGCCTTCATCATGCCTGCGAGGTCAGAGAAGCTGTCTCGCTGGGCTGGCTTGCAGCGATTGGCTACCATCCTGCCGGTGATGGGTGCAGTGCTTGTGGGACTCGCGACGGCAACCTCACTAGGGCCTACGAGGTTAATGAGGTCAATATCGGCATCTGAGTGTGGGTTAACTCGATGCCACGGTATGCACAAAAGTTTGAAAGCCTACAGGAGGGCATTTTGGCGCTAGAACGGGACGTGACGGATGCGGTTGGAGCAGATACGGTGCGGTGGGATAGCGAGGGGACGATCGTCGAGGAGGCTGGAGGTCGTCAAAGCTTTGTAGGGCAGTCGGAACTGGGAGTCGCAGTGAAGGCACGCACTGCCAAGCCTGGCTAGGAAGAAGCGGAAGTCGCGGTGAGAGAGAGAAAAGAGAACACAAAACGCCTCGGATGAAAGGGAAATTTGAAGTGAAGGAATGCATGCTGAGCTGTAAACGTCCTGACTTACTAGGAACGCAGGACACTTGATCGTGTACAGTTTCAAGCAGAGACAATGCTGAGAGCAGATCAATGCGCTGACCACAGTGAGCACTACTGCCGTGGACGGGCAGCGCATCTACACTGACGAGCTCCAGAAATCCCTACTCATCGTTCACCTGCCGAACCTCTTGATCTCCAACATCCTCAAAGGAGGATACACCAGCGCAGCCCACGCAAACCCTACATAGTTCCCCATATCCGCCCCATAAGTACCCACCAGCAGCGCAATCGGCCCATAGTACCACACCTGCGCCATGCAAAGAATTGCGCCAACCCAGCCCACAACAAACGCAACCAACGCCGCAATGCCCAGGGGCAGCTTCTTCTGCTGGTTCCACACATCCCAGTTCCAGCCCGTCTTACGACGGAAAATGAGGTGCTCCTCAAGCACGATGGCGATCCAGATAGACACCCAGTACCCCATCAGGGCAAGGAAATTGGTAAAGATTTCAGCAAGATGGGCACGCCCGACGAGCGCGCAGACGGTGTAGATGATAACGCCAACTGTGTTCCAGATCACACGAGGCACGGCGCCGGCCCAGCGACCGAGGATTTGCGCGTCGATGCCGGAAGAATAGGTTGGTACGATGAGATTGGCGACGAGGCCGAGGGCGACTACGACACCACAGAAGGAGCCAAATGCGCCAAGGGGACGGTAGGCTTCAATAATGAGTGCGCCTTGTGAGGTGCCGTATGCAGCTTCCCAGTCGGTGTTGATTAGCATGCCGCAGGCGAGACCGATGCCTAGGACGAAGGCGAAGGTGAAGCTGCAGCTCAGGCCAAAAAGGGTCATGCCGAAGATCCTGAGGGAGGAGGCGTGCTCGGGATAGTATACGAAGTAGTCTGCCGCTCCGCCGCCGTAGGTGATGGCTGCAGCAAGCGTGAGACCAAAGAAGCTGATCCTGTTGCCGATGATAGTGTCCGGGTTCTCGTCGCCGTGGGATGCGGCAGAGATATTAAACTGTGGTCCTGCAACACCGGCTAGAATGCAGAGCACAATGAGTTGCGGTAGCCACGCCCAGCGCTCGTAGTAGTGGAAGATCTGGTAACCGAAGGTCGTAATGACCCATGCAATGACTGCAACAATGATGATGCCCACCACGACAGACATGGTGTTGCCTGAGACCGCGGATAGAATCTGACCAGCCACAACGCAGTCAATCATACCGTATCCAAGCAAGACAATGATGTTCAGAATGACCACAATCTTGGAGGGCCACCATCCCATGCTATACCTCGAGAAGATCATCGTCCTATTTCCGCTCTTCGGTCCAAACGTCGCAATATACGCAACAACCATCGACCCCACAAGCGCACCAAACACACTTAGCAGACAGCTGTCGACAAAGCCCAGCGCAAAGACCGCCGGACCCAGCATGCCCAGCGTGATGTTGTTAGCAGCTAGATTGACCGAGAACCACATGATAGCAACCTGCGAGTATCCCAGCGCGCGCAAATCCTGTCGCTCGTCCGTCTCAACACGCTGTATACCGCGCGCTTCGAGGTTGTACGCGACCAGCTGTCTCTCAAAGCTCTTCCAGGCCTGCTGCAGCCTGCCCGCGCGATTCGGTGGACCCTCCAAGGTAGGCAGTCTGTCGTTTACGTTGGGCGCAAGCGCCATGCGCGTAGTCTTGTCATCATTCGCGAGTTCATTCGCGATATTGATCGATTCCATCAGGGAGGGCCTATACTGGTCAGTAGCAGTCTCTGAGCCGGAGCGCAAAGCATGAAGTCCTTTCGCAGGCGTTAACCTGATCAAGTTCAGACCGTATTTCTCAGATCACTGCCCCATCCCTGCCCCTCCATCTGGAACTGATGGCGGAACAGACATTTAGGCAGCGAACACCGGTTCTCATGCGATTGCTTTCAAATACCTTGATCAGGCGGGTTCCTGTGTAGAGGCTCCATCTTGGCTAATCGTGCCGTACTTGGGACTTGATTCGACGTGGGCCAGACGAGGTCGCGCAACTGGTAAAGAATTGAGTGACAATGGAGGAGTTGATGTCTAGGTAGGAGACGATGCGTGAGCTGAAGGAAAGTTATTGCCATCGCTCAACAGACGCGGGATGAACCCCGCTTATCGGCGCGCCACCGAGCTCTTCGCTTGCACACTTCCACGCTGTGCACTGCATTGTATCGTCACGTTGCCATCTCATCAAAAAAAATAACTCCTAGATTCGACGCGTTTTTGTCGTTGTGTGTCGTTGCTGACACTGGGTAGTTCCTGGGGAACGAGCGTTGGTTAGAGCTCCACATGCGCTGTCACACAAAGCTTTTCTCGAGACCAAAAGAGACGGCGTGTGAAAATCATGTGTGTATTATCATTAGACTAACTAAACGCTCACAATTACAAATTACAATACTCACTTCAGTAAGTAGCGTACGACTTCAGCGGCGGCTCAGTGAGTCTCTTCTGCGGATACGCCAACAGCAACACACCCGCCACAGGAATCAGTCCACTTGTAGCCAACACGTCGTCAAGATCAAGACCAGGCGCTGCGTAGTCCTCGCACACAGCCTGCCTGTTGATGCGACTAACCTGCCCAGTAGTGCCCGGGTGTGTCAACGCATCAACAATAAGAGCGTATGTGATTGGGTTGAACAACACGCCTGCGTGTCCGTAGAAGCTACCACCCGGCTGATTGGCGCAGACGGTCTGTACTTCGTTGTTGGATACTGGGGCGTTGGGACCACCGGCGGGGAGGAAGGCTGAGGCAGCGTTGCCTTGCTGTGGTTCGACGATCTCGTCGAAGAAGCCGGAGTAGAATGTTGTTGTTGGGACAAAAGCTTTGTCTCCTCCGCCCTTCCTCAGTTGTTGAACGTAGTTGGACGTACGCTGCTGCTGGATGACGCTGGGGTCGCAGGGCACAGCACCGAGCTGGCTGTTTGCACTCAGACAAAGCGCGTTAGCGAACACAGTACCGGCGAAGTCTGGCGATACGGGGAGGAAATCCTGCACGATTTGGCGTGTGCTAGGCCAGTACTTCAGAACCCACTGTGTATCCAAACCACCCTGAGACCACGAGATGACGGCGATTTTCTTTGGAGAGGCAACGCTGCCGGAGACCGCGCTGATGTAGTTGATGGCATAGGCAATGTACTCGGAGTTTATCTGCGCGTCACCGAGCATGGCGCCAGGGACGTTAACCCAGACTGGGTCGGCGTAAGATTGGCCAGTGAGCAGCTTGCGGAGGTTGTTTGCGAAGTTAGCGCCGCCGTATGCGCCTGTGCCGGGCACGAAGAGGACGGGGGTTTTCTTGCCATAGGTAAAACTGGGTGGGATAAAGATTGCGGCACGTAGGTTGGCTTCAGGGACTGAATAAGGTGCATCGGTTGTCCCGGACTTCTTGGGGTAGAGACCATTGACTACTTTGTTGTTGTTGGAGATGCTGTTCTCTCCTACAGGAAGGCTGCCCTGTAGAGCGGTGTTGAGGGTGCCATCAAGGACAGGTCCAAGGCCATTGGCCACTTGTGTGGCGATGGCGCCATAGATGTTTGTTCGGGATGGTGACGCCCAGATAGATGCTTGCTTGGAGAGCACCTGCGAGATGGCCGTAGGTTTTGTTGTAGGTTGAATCTTGACCAGTGCGGAACTGCAAGCTGACGGGTTGCCAGCCGCTACAGCGCTATCCACATCCTTGAGAAGGCCGGTCACAATACCGAGGATACCACCGATCAAATTAGGAAGCAGTTGCCGTTCTTCGATTGTCGCAGTAGCAACCTCATCGAGTGTGGGCGCAGGTGTAATCTCTGGGACTGAAACTGCTACTGGTGCCGGTGCAGCGACCGACAGAGAAAGAAGGCCAAGGACAGCCAGAGATGTGAACGAACGCATCCTGAAGGGAAAGATATGTAGCACAGTACCAGAAGCCAGAATAGAGCCCTACCAATTACTATACTTATGGGCCACCCAACATATATGCATCCTGTCAATCACAGCTCCTCAAACTCTCATGGCGCATGGGGTACCTTATTGCCATAGCGGACTGAGTAGCTCGAGTCGTTTCTCGTTGTCAAAATAGGAGTGTAGTGTCCGCGGCTCATCTTAGCGTATATGGATCTTCAAAACAATGTAGATCCTTTCTTCATAAAGTTAAGCGTATATGTTAAACGGTGATGACGATCGCTTTTTCGGTCAGCTATGAACGAAAAGGTTAGTGTTTATGACAGATTCGGATGAGTTGCGCCGCTGACATCGGCTTTCGGTGCCAGGCTCCCGGAAGGCTCACTGTCCGCGCCAAGATTGAGAATTCGCCGAAGTCGATGTGGAGCCGTGAATGATTCCCGCCCTTTCGGTACCAAATGTGCATGTTGAATATCGTCACTTGTGCGTATGGCTCATGGAACTTGTAAGTAATTGCCGTTATGGAGTGCGCGTAGTTCTGGGAAAGAGCTCTCGGCTGGTGTGGTCGCCTCCTTATTGGACAGGGTCACGTACTCTACGAGGGACTACCCCAACGTGCTCATGCAGCTCTGAGACACTCCTACACCTTCAACAGACGTCGCTCAACAGGCTCTCGACGGTGTGGTCTCCGTTTTGCACGAGAATACAGGCTCGGAAGGAACGAGTGGTTCTCGAGATCCTGCAGGGCAACTACACCTGGCATCAGCTTCCTGCACGCCCGGGCGTCACCTCACTCTAGGCTGTGGGTGCGAGGGTCCTGTACCATCAAAGCGCCTTCTTGGTACTCTACTTAGCGCGCCACTAATGCGCCACTAAGCCCCTAAAATATCAAATTAAAGCTAGCTATTGTGACGCGTTTTAGATAGAAAGCTTCTAGCAGTTGAAATAAATCGGTTATAAGGAAAGCTCCTGGTGATACAGTTGGAACCAAGGTGCAGCAATGGAGGCATATTGTAGGCGTTTTGGGTCATTCATTCATTCGATCTATGTTGAAGTTGAAGATACTTCAGGGGCTCGGCCCAAGGGATCAGATCTCTTGCCCTGCTGATTGGCTGAAAGCCTGCTCTCTCCCATCCTAGGTTCGACAGGACCAGACTGCACCAATTCTAATTGTATAGACTATTTACTTCTGCTAGTGCTTAAAACTAGTGAAGAAAGGAAACTTAGCCTGCTAGTACAGTGTACAATAATACGTGCAAGGTAGTAGAGCCAGATTTATAGTTAGTAAAGTTGAAATGTACGGTAATGTTGGTGACATAGAAGTTGCTATTAGGGAGCTCATCCTCTGCAACCAGCTTACGCTTCTTGTTAGTAGAACGACAAGCTATAGTACTAGTAGCGCTAACAATTAATTGGCTAATTAATAATGATTAGATAGGATGTCAGATCTGCCATGATTGCTCAGCGAAGGTGATCTTCAAGATCCATACCGAGACGTCGAGTAAGTGCAGCTCGCTAACTTTGCATCTTGGCTAACGTATTCAGTGCCGTAATTGCTGCGTACTTCGTAAACGCTTTATTCCGTGTGGGCTGGTACCCGCAAATCGTGGAGGAAAGTGTAGTCGCTAATCTGATACTACGCACTCGCAACCGAGACAACGACAATCTCCTTCACGACGGAGGCCAGGTCTGGGATGTACCGAGAACATCTCCACCTTCTCTCTGAAGCAAGAATGGTTCAACTACACCACAACATGGCAACTGACCGAGTTTCCCCTGTACATCTCCATCGCTATCCTCGCTGCTCACCTCATCATCATCCTCCTTCATTCAGCCTACGTTCTGTGGACAAAGCAGTCTTCCGAGGCCTGGAATTCCATCCCTGAATCAATCGCACTGGCATACAACTCCAAGCCCAGAGACCAATTCCTCAAAGATTGTGGGGCAGGTATCATGCTCCTCAAGACTCTCGACCGAGAAGTCAAAGTCACCACTGTGCCCAATGAAGCCGAGGACGAATCGCAGAAGATGAAGCTGATTCCTTGCAAAGAGAAGATCGTGTACAGGTTCTTAGGCCATAAGAAAGGCGTCGCTGTCAAAGCGCATACCGAATACTCTTAGCTTCGGCCATCGACGAAGTACCGGTACGAACAAAATCGACTAACCAGGATAGTTCCAGCAAAGCATGCAATCTGACACTTTGAAAAAGCACGTCAACTTCAACACAGGGTATGTCTTCCATCCCACAATCCCCCCCTGCTCAACCATCCCTCTTTCTCGTCTCTCTAAACCCCACCAATCTTCCTCATCCTCTCGTGATCAAAGCGCCCAAGCATCTTCCCGCCTCTCACTCTACGTTCTGCCCTACACCAACAGCGTAAACTCCATCGGATCAGGCTCAACGAAACTATGCCCATGCTGGTGCCGGGCACAGGGATAGCACGGATAAGGAACGACGAATGCGGAGATGTAGAGATGAACGGCATGTAAGCCAAAAACTATACAGAGCAGGCGAAAAGCCAATATTCCCTTTCGACGATATTCAAGTAACGGCACGCCAAAAACGATTCACGGACGGCAACCAACACCCACTTCCCAAGTCAAAAAATTGGGCAAGAAGCAAATCTACATGATTCATGCCTTCCGAACTGAAAAGGGTATCATAGCCACCCCCCTACTCCAACTCCATCCCCCTTTACTTGTACCGTTGTCCAAGTTCCTTGGCGATCTCCTTCCTCCGTCCCCGATAGAAGCGCTCAAGCATCTTGCGCCGTTCAGCTTGCGTGCTGCTTTCCACCAGTAATGCGAATTCAACGGGTTCGTCGAAACCCATGCTTTCTGCCATAGCGCAGAATTGTCTCCTCCGCACCCTCTCATGGGGCCTATATCTGTAACTAATCCTAAACTCGCCCTTCCTTACACTTCCCATCTCCCGCAACTCCTCCTCCTCCTCCCCCTCCTCCTCTTGAAAAGCCAGAGGGTGAGAGCGCGTATTGGAGTGTGCATCGGAGTGATTTTGAGATTGTGATTGAGAGGCTTGGAAAACGCGTTTCCGTGAGAGGTCGATATCGTTGCGCAATTCCATTGCTTGTCTACCTAGCCGCGCTTCTATTTCGCTGCGGCCGATGACTTCGGAGTTTTCGTGCGTGTATTGAACGCCTGCTTTTGCGAGGATGGCGTTTATTGCGTCTGCGCGGAGGGGGGTTTGGTATTTCTTCCGCGCCCGTGTCTTCGACTCGCCCGGATTGGAAGGTGTGGTGAGCGATTCAGCAAGCTTCTTGATGTTGGCCAGGTTGTCGTCATCGATACCCAGGTTTCTGCTGGATAACATGTGCTCGTCGTCGTCGGATGAACATTGTGTTTCGTCGAATTGGAAGTCTACAGCTTGCACGCCCGCCCTGCTCTCAGCGACGTTCGTCTTGTGCATGATATCTCTCAACAACACACTGTTCTCCTGGAACGTAAACAGATTCTCCAGCCCAAAGAGTTCACCCTTCTTAGACGCTTGGTCCATCACGCCCTTGAAGTAGCGCCGCTCTTCTGACGCGTTGTATCCGATGTTGGCTTGTTGCTGTTTGTAGATCTGCCGCGCGTACACGATTTCCTCGATCGTGCCGCTCGACACGAGACGGAAGACTTCGACGTCGCGCGTCTGCCCGATACGGTATGCACGGTCTTGGGCCTGGAGGTCGTACGCTGGATTCCAGTTCGGGTCCACCACAACAACCTTATTCGCTGATGTGATGTTGAGTCCCACACCACCGGCTTTCGTGCTGATCAGAAAGACGAATTGCTCCGGGTCGGCGTTGAAGTCTGCGACGGCTTTGGAGCGCTCCTCGTATTTCATACTGCCGTCGAGGTACGAGAAATTGTACTTTGTGCCGTCGACGTCGAACAGGCCGCGCAGGAGGCGCAGAAGCCGGACTGAATGTGAGAAGATGAGGACTTTGTCGCCGTTGGCGTGCCAGAAGTCGAGGAGACGGCGGAGCACTTTCCATTTCCCGCAGAATTCGCGTTGGGATTGGTTGAGGATGGCGTCCCTGTTGCGCCAGAGCTCTTGGAAGGTATCGGGACACGCTGTTTCGAGGTTCTGTAGGTCTTTCGCTTGTTTGTCTTTCGTCTCTGTTGAAGAGGGCACGATCAGTGCGACGTGGTTTGCAAGTTTCTGCAATGTGACCATGCAAGGAAACATGAACTTGGCCCATTTGTCGTCTGTCCCAGGTATCTCCGAGTAGCAGCACCAGCCTCTAGGTTTGCCAGATTGACAGTCGCAAGGCTCTTTCGCTGTTCGGATAAACGCGCATCTGTCGTTTTCGAGAAATGTGCGGTACGCGTCTGCTTGGGTTTCCGTCAGCTGACAGAAGACGACGCGATCGCTCTTCTTCGGCAGTTGATCGGCAATGAGCGTCTTCATTCTGCGAAGAAACACACTAGGTAGGATGTTGTGGACAAGCTCCTGAGCCCTGCTTCGCGAGTCGGCAAGTTGGGCGTTGGTCGCATCGTGAGCCTGACCCAGCTTCAACGGGAGGCTTATCGTCTGTTTCCACTCCTGCGCGGATCCATACGCACCAGGCCGTGCCCAGTTCAGAAGGTTCCAGAGCTCTTCGTACTTGTTCTGAATAGCAGTGCCTGTGAGGCCGATACGACACAGTGCGTTGATCTTGTTCATCGCGATTGTTACCTCCGAAGATTTGCTTTTGATCGAATGGCACTCGTCTGCAATGACACAGTCCCAGTCGATTGTGTTGACTTCGCTCTCGCTCATGCGGTAGGTGTTGTAGGTTGTGATCATGATCTCCAACATGCCCTTCTTTGCGGCACCTAGCACACCTTTGCGGTCCGCGACATTGCCGTGGTACCTGTACACTTCCCACCACCCCCACTTGGAGAGCTCGTCTTCCCAGTTCTGCATCAGTGTGCCTGGACAGACAATGAGCACTCGTGGGTACCAGCGGCCATCACCATGGCGGCGGATCTTTCGCATGCACTTCGCGTCTCTCTTTTTTGCTGTCTTGCCAAAAGCTATTGTAAGGAACGCGATGACCTGGATGGTTTTCCCCAAGCCCATATCATCACCCAGTATAGCCCCAGTCTGCCTGATGAAGCGCTCATGCAGGAACTCGACGCCCTCGACCTGGTAGTCACGCAGCCATTGTGCAATTGACGCTGGGATGAAACCTTTTGACTCGCGTAATCTGATCCCTTTCTTTCCTCGCTGTGGCTTGACGGCCTTGTCGAGCTGAGGCTTCTCTTCGGTCTCCGAGTCCGAGAAGTCGATGTCCTCATAGATTGGTGGGTATCGCAGGCCAGCCTCGTGCAACTTCTTGAGGTGCTTCTGCCGAGAGGTGATGTAGTCGGGGATGGGGTCATCCAAGTAGGTTGCATCGTCGGCATCTCCAGCTACAGGGTTGGTCCTGAAAGCAATGTCGCGAGCGTTGTGTTGCTTTGACTTTGGCGAGGGCTTCCGGCCAACGATGCTCGTCGCCGCGGCAGTTTTGGACTTCTTCTGCTGACGGATGCGTACTGTTTCTGCTGCAGCGCGCTTTCGTTTCAAGGTCTTTCGGTTCTTCCAATTGTCGTACGCGGCTCGTGTGTCCTCTTCAGACCACTCAGATTCTACATCAGGTTCATCGTCGTCGGTCTCCGACTCTACGGCCTGCGGCTTGCGGGACTTGGGAGCTGATTCGAACGCTTCGTCGTCATCAGTATTCTGGTCGACAGCTTCTTTGCCGCTGTTCGTCTTGTCAGCATCTTGCGATTGGGTTTGTGCTTGGGTAAGCGCTAGGAAGTGTCAGTCACGGCTGCCTTGGTGTAGCTTCAAAGTGGCCTCTCACCTTCGATGTACTGCGACAGATCTAGGCCTTTGCGAGAAGACTCGACCATGTCGAACCCCTCATCGCTGCCTTCGCCGCTGACAGTCTCGCCTTCAGCGCAAGACTGAAGAGCCCTGTGGTGCTCTCTGTTGGACTTTGTGCGCGAGAACGACATGATGGCACGAGAGAGGACTGAGGACCTCCAGACACCCCCCTTTCGCGTGGATTACCCGGGTTCCAGAGTCGGCCGACTGGCCATACCCCAGACTTCGGTAGTGTTTGTTGATGTCGTTGTACTAGAGAGGAAGGAAACGCGCCACACGAGATCGCGTCGACGCGGTAGCACGTGAGGTGGAAGCGGGGGCTCTCTCCAGCTCCAAAGATCCCTGTTCGAGCTTTGACCGCGACTCCAAAATATCGAACCTAGCGTCATCAATTCACTTTCGCATCCCGGACAGCAATTGATCTTCAACATCGACTCGGATACCTCCACACACCCACGCGCAAGCCGACACACCCACGCGCAAGCCGACACACCCACGCGCAAGCCGACACACCCACGCGCAAGTCGACACACCCACCCACAATGCCGCTCGATACATCAACCTACTCCCTCGCCCTCCTGCGCCTCGACGGCCGGCGGTGGAACGAACTACGCCGGATCCACGCTCAAATATCGACCCAAGCCGCTGCAGACGGGTCCTCGTACCTGGAAATGGGCAACACGAAAATCCTCTGCAGCGTAACCGGGCCCCACGAAGGCCGCTCAGGCGGCGTGCGCGGCGGCTCTGGCGGGGTCGCGAAACTCGAGGTTGAAATCAACAGCGCAGCGTTCAGCGGCACAGACAGGCGGCGGAACGCGCGCGGCGACAAGAGGACGAGCGAAATGGAACACTGCCTGCGAGAGGCTTTTGGCGGTGTGATCGTAGCGCATCTGTACCCACACTCCACAATCACCATCAACCTGAACATCATAAGCCAAGACGGCTCCCTCCTCGCAGCCTCGATAAACGCTGCCACCCTCGCGCTCATCGACGCCGGCATCCCCATGACAGACTACCTGGTTGCCTGCACCGCTGCATCTTCCGCATCCACATCTGCCGCCGACAATGCGTCAGCGGATGACCCGCTGCTGGATTTGAATACGCTGGAAGAGCAGGAGCTGCCGTTCCTGACGGTGGGGTGTCTGGGCGAGAGCGATAAGGTCGCGGTGTGTGTTATGGAGACTAGGGTTAGGATGGAGAGGTTGGAGGGCATGCTTGCGGTGGGGATCGAGGGCTGTAAGAGGATGAGGGGGATCCTGGATGAGGTCGTTAAGGGGTATGGGAAGAGGTTTGGGTGAAGAAACTCAATGGGCATTTTTTTCGTGAAAGTGCGGCAGCACGCTGAGTCCTTCCGGGGCAGGCTCGTGTGCGGAGCAGAGCAGGCAGAGGTTGCTGGAAACTGCGCCTCGCGCCCGCACGACGAGCATGCTAGGAAGGAAGACAGACTCAAGAACGCCTGTCAGTCGGCGAGATGGAGGTATGCTCGTGCATGGCTGGTGCCATCAGTCGGCGTCATGACCAGCACAAAAGGAACCAAAGCGCCTGAAATAAGCGACAATACCATGATTGGAAGATGCAGACCATGTGCCCCTCGGAATCGGCACAATTTGAATCATTCAGAACCGTTGCATTCCTTCTACCTCTCCTTTTGCATCGATGGCTGCGCCTTACATACCATCCATTCTTACGTCTCCATTCTTACGTCTCCATACCATCCATTCTTACGCCTCCATCTTCCTCGCTCTTCAACCATGTTTCTCCTGCACCTGTCAATGGCATTGACAGCCCGCTATCTAGCCATGACTGCGCCGAGGTCCCGTCGCTTGAGCATGCTGCGTGTTGTAGCTGCTGAAGCGCATCCACCTGGACTCCGTTCATCAGCGGCAGTAGAGGTTGCATTTGCTGGCCCAGCGTATGTTGTGGAGCTGTTGCTGGTGGTCTTTCACTCATGAATGGACTGTATAGCTGCCATTGCGGCGGGGGCATTGCTGAGTATTGAGCACTGGTCTGTTGTTGTTGTTGTTGTTGTTGTTGTTGTGATGAATAATAGCGGCTGCGCACCTGCTCCAGCGTCGGCAGTCCAGCTCTTTCGCCGTTGCTTGGTAGCGCCATTCCCAATCCACTTCCTGCCGTCGTCGCCCCATGTCCGCCGTTCGCAGGCTCGAATGAAGCTCCACAGTACCCCATTGCAGACTGAGGTCTTGCGCGCGTGTCTTGAGCAGACTTAGTCGGGCTGTACATAACCTTCCCAGACACAATCGCGGTTGGTGCCTGTGCGATGGAGTGTTGTCGTTGCATGATGCTCTGTGCCATCATGTCTCGCTCTTGCGCTGTTACTTTTGCCGCGATCTCGCGGGCTCGTTGTTGGGCGGCGTTGGACCAGTCTGTGCCGCGGAGATGGGCAAAGTCGCTGCTTGAAATGGTATGTGTTTGCTGGCCAAGCGCAGGAGAGGGCTGCGGTGGCAGAGAAGGCTTCGGTGGAAATGGGATGCGAGAGAGCTGTGTGGAAGGCTGCGTATATTGGCGTGTCGACTGTGTTGGTTGTGCTGGCTGTTGCTGAACTTCCGAGCGGCGAGCCATTTGGTACTGAGCCGGCTGGTACTGAGTAGATGGGTATTGAGCTGACTGGGGCTGAGGTGATAGACGCTGCTCGGTTGCGTATGGCTGCGCGGACCTTCCGCCTGTAAATGTACTGGTAGACGGCTGCGACATTTGCATCTGTGGATGAGTCTGTGTGTTCGGATTTGCATGCAGTAGCGAAGTTACCTGTTGTTGTGCTTGTTGTTGCGTGTAGACAGAAGCCGCCGTTAGCATCTGCTGTGATTGTTGCTGTTGTCGTTGATACAGTGACCCAAATAGGATGGGTGCGCTGGTGGGACCTCTTCCCGGCAGAGTGTAGGATGAACTGATAGTTTGTATCGGAGTTGCAGCACTGTACATTTGTTGTTGCTGTCTGCGCGAGTGATACTGTTCGAATTCGCGATTCTGGCGTCGATAATGGCTATCCTCTTCTGCAGTCAGCTGCGTTGAGAGAGCTGCTGCGGCGAAGTGACCTGGCTGCGCATGCACAAGCCTTGGATCAATGTCTTCTTCAGCTGGAGGCTGCCTCGTAGGAATAGAAGGCGGTCGCACTGGTGGGCGCAGCTCTGGTAGATGGTCAAGCCAAGTCTCACTCGCTGTTGGGCATACGACATACCGTCCTTTACTTCTTCAGGCTCGAGAGCGAGACGGCTCAGCCTCACCCGCTCATGCTTCACCCAAGCACCGCTCCCAATGTCTGGTCTCCCTAACAGTTCGTACGGGCCTTTGAGCTGTGCTCGTCGAATGAGATACTTCGCCAGTGGCTCCAGGTTGTCGACGACCATCTCCAGATCAGGCGCTAAATCCTTATATCTGTGCATGATGGCCATGAAGATCCGCTCGAACACCAGATCGTCGCCATCGCTGGGGTGGTCTGGCTTCTGGAAGCAAAAGTCGACAGAACGCTGAATTTGCACCGAAATATCGGCAGGGTACGGAAGTGAGGATGCGAATGCGTAGAGGAGGAACGGCACGAGTGTTTGCTTGATCCAGTGATGCGTTATGGGGTGTTTGGTCACGGCCATGATGGGTGCAGGCGATGCTGTATGCGTGAGCCGCTTAAGTACTGATTGTGGTTTATGGTTTTGATGATAGACGCCGAAGGCCACATGGTAGCATAAGCCGAGCTGGCTGGCGATGAAAGTGAAAGCAGTCTGTCAAGATAAGCAATGTGTTGCCTTCACCGTGAACGATCGTGTTTGGCAGTCGAGATTGATCTAGAAAGTGTGATCTACAACAGCGATGAAGTACCGCAATTGGCATCTGCAGCGCAGACATACCTGGTATCATAGTAACGATCGTATCCAGAAATCCACCGTTGGCCGTGAGAACATATCGTTACAATGAGGTCGCAACCTTCGCTATGCGATACGATGACGCCTTCCAAAAGCAAGGCCTTTACAAACCGAGAAACAAACAAGAGGCCCCTATCTATCACACATGTTCAAGCAACATGCCGACCACTCTCTCCCGGTCATCACTTAGAGTGGCTGCTGCCCAACACGCCACCTTCCATCAGCGACAGTCTCAAACTTGACCCTGCGACCTCTCTGCCTAACCATCTGTACACCTCCTGCCTCAAGCCACCTTCCCAGATTCTTGCACTGACTAACATCGAAGACTTCCAGGTCCCTGCAGCCTTCTACCACCGCCTCAACACCTGTACCTGTTACTCGTACACAACCACGCACGGAGAGGTTTTGGAGCTCGAGCAGGTGCAGCGATATGCAGCGGAGCGATGTATCGGAGACAGCCGAGCCGCAGAAAGCGAGGTTGAGATGCGTGAGGTTGGGTAGACCGAGGGCAAGGACCTCTGTCGCGGTGTCTGAAAGCGCACAGCAAAATGACTATTGCGGCAATGTTAGCAGTAGATCAAAGGCAATGCAGTATATGCTGGACCTACCAGGTCCAATTCCCTCAGCCCCTTGGCTGCGTTTGTCAGGTAGACAATTGCATTGTCGGTCAGATAGGTACAGTCGGCGAGGCATAGCTTCTGCAACCGCGGGAAAGGGTACACACTCCAGTGCTGAAATCCAACATCTGTGATCGTAGTGCATCGTGTGAGGTCGATCGACTCGATGCGGTTCGCTGCGTGAACAGCGATATGTGCCATCGACCGGTCTGTGATGTGTTTGCAATAGCTCAATGTGAGACGTCGTAGTTTTGGACAGCCAACCACGGTGCCAGGAGCCAAGGGAGCTGGTGCTGGTTGACCGTTGGCTCCATTCTTGCCCTTCTGGCGACTGTTTGCTTGGGCCTGCTGCTGTGCTTGTGCCATCGCCATTTGAGGAGGATGATCTGGTACAACCCAGCCAATCACGCGTGCAAGAAGGTTGTCGCCGACCTTTCTGCAGTTGCTGAGGTCAACTTCTTCCAATCCCTTGGCTTTCTGCACCATCTCAAGCACTGCAGGGCCTGTGATATCCCAGACACTCTTCATCCGCCAGACCTTTACACCAGGAGCGCATGTCCTTGCTAGTTCTCCAAAACCCTCATCCGTTACGTGGAAGCAGTTGCTCATGTTGATGTTTTTCGGTCGAGTGCCAACGAAGGGGCAGATGACATCTACCAACGTTCGATCTGTGACTTTACGGTTGTATTTTGCGAGATCGAGGTCGTGAAGGACGTCTGGTGATGTTGAGAGGAGTTTGTGCCAGTGTGACGATATCTGTCGCAGTTGCATCAGCTCGTACAAATCGAAGTTCTGGAAGATCCTGACAAGGACAGAATCTGGAAGACTGCCTCTGCTATATCTGCTCGGCTTCCTTATCATGCGCGGGCGCTTGAAGTCGAAAACAGGCTCTGGTGGAGTTGACGCATGCTTCGGTATGGGCGATGGTGAAAGAGGTCTACCAAGAGGCGGTGTACCAAGAGGCGAACCAACGGGCGATGGATCTTTTGAGAAGCTGGTTTTAGTGGGACTAGAAGGTGAGTCTGGTGGTGGAGGGGCAAGTGAACCCCGTCTCGATCGAGACCGGACATTGTCTAGGTCAAGATTGAGAAACGGATCCGGATCGTAAGGCTCCATCATTTTCTCATCTCTTCGTGGCGGCGTGACTGGCGTATCGACATCGGGAAGATCGCTGAAGGTCACTGTTGGGACACTCTCCTTTCTTCTCGGCGTTCGTGGACGTTTTGTGTCCGCAATAACCAGCTCGTCGATCTTTGGTGTGCTCTCTGAATCTGACATGTGCACGTCGTTGTAGTTTGCAGCTTCGAGTCGTTCTTTGGCGACTGATTCCACCTGTCGGCGCACATCTGGTGTGCACTTGTCCCATAACTGGCTAAGGGTATCTCCGCTGATCATGAGGCACTCGACGGATGCTACTGATCGTACAGTAGCAGTACGGTGTGGTGCTAGCGAGAGACTGACGACTTCGCCGAAGTACTGCCCGCCTTTCAATCGAGCCTTCACTTCATGGAAGTTGTGCTCGCCAGCCGCTATCGACTTCCGCCTGCCTTGACCGTATGCTGCGTGACCGTTGTGCTGCGCTGGCTGCACATTGACCACCTCTACTTCTCCTTTGACGATGAAGTAGACATCGCGCCCTGATGTTCCTTGCTTGATGATGTCGTAGAACGGAGGGAACGAGCACGGCTGAGCACGCATGCCCAGGAAGTGGAGGATTTCGTCTGGCAGCTCAGAGAACAGTGGCAACTCTTTCAGTAGTGACCGCACATGTACGTCTATGCTACCAAAGGCGCTGTTGGCTGCGGCTTCAGTCAGGCCTGGACTCGGTGACTTCCTCTTCTTGTAGGCAACTACAACCTCCCCATCACGCAATGTGCCACTCCCTGCCATGACTACATCGCCGTCTTCGCGGTCACGCTTCCCTGTAATCTGCCGCACAGGGGCCGTCGGTCGTTTGTTGCCTCCCAGTTCCTTCTTTTTGCGCTCGAGAATAGCAAGGCGTTCCTTGGCCTCGTCCATAATAGCTCGTTGGACCTCCGGGAATTTGGGCAGCTCCTTCATGAGATCCTCCTTGTTTAGCCGCACTACCAGCGAGCGCATGTTTGCTATGATGGTGGCCGTCCGAGGGATGTCCATGAGGATACCAATCTCGCCAAAGAAAGCTCCAGGCTTTAGTTCAGCGAACGTGCTCTCCTGATCTCGTGATGTGACTCTCATTGCGCCACGGACCAGCCAGTACATAGCTTTCCCCGTCTCGCCCTCGGTGAGGACAGTGTCGTGTGTCTGATAGAGTGCTGGCTTGAGATGCATACCAATGGCAGCGAGAAAGGAGTCAGGGGCAGCTTGAAAGAGTGGGAAGGAGCGCAGGCGGTCGAGGAGGTCGAGAGGGAGACCGTGGATGGTACTCGCAGCAAGCGGTGAGGGTCGTATAGGTCTGGCAGGATTGGAGTCGCTGTCGAAGGCGCGTACCATGGCGAAGGGATCAGGCACAGCGACGCCGCCATGCCCGCGCACCGGGCCGCCAGGCCTGTAGCGGCGCATTGTGGTGGTGGAGGTGCTGCTGCTGGCTGGGAGCGACGCGTGCGAGGGGAGCGAACGGCGGTGTGTTTGCTGAGCGGGGACCCCCTCACGTAGTAGGAGGAAGGTGCTCGGTGGAAGCTAGGCAGGTGCGATGCAGTCGTGCAGCAGGCCTCAGCTCATCGTGTGCGCGTGCGTGGAGTGGTTACAACCAGCAGTGCTCGACAGCGAGTCTTCTGTGAGCTACGGCGCGTCTGCCCGGTGTGGAAACTTGCTGCGTGCGAGGGTGGGGCGGGAACACAGCAAACTACAGAATAAGCAATGTGTTGCTAAGAATGGTGTTGTCTCTGAAATAATACAGTCACGTGCCGTGCAATGCCTCGCAATAATTGTCGTAATTATTTATTTGCTGGCGTGAGGCATGAACCTGCTCCGAGAGATGGTGATGGTGAAGATAGATGCGGGAGACACGGGCTCTTGGATCGGTGCGGGAACGAGCACAGGCGGATCTTCTAGAAGGAAGGAACGACCGTGAAACACGGTCTGTGCGCTCCTGCCCTCACCAACACGAAGCGAACTCTTATCACTATCAGGGCCCTGGACAGCCCCCGCGCTTCCTCCTTTACGCAAGACATTGACCGAATTACCAACCCTCACAACCTAATACTGGGTTCAGTTCGTCAGTCTGAAGGCGCCATGCCAGCCCTGTCAGACCTCAAAGAATGTTTCGACCGGAGCCATCAAGTGCCATTTGAACGGCCCGCTAGCGTTCACCCTGACCGCCGCCGGCCCTACGCCTCAGATCAGGTTGCAGACACGGACCTCGTAACGTCATTCGTCGAAAAAGCAACAACAGTGCACTGGCCTGGTCTACCGATCTCGTAACTCATTTCGCTCGTTCCATGTTGATTTCGTGAGTTGAAAATGCCCGTCTAGGGGCATCGTGCTGTCTAATGGTACCCCTGCCATGTCACCAAAGAAATCGTTGCCGTCCCATAACCCTCAGGCCTGTCAAGGAAACACCCAAGTCCACAACTGATATCATAACAGTCGTTGCAGTTCGTCCCAGTGTGCCATTTATTATCGCCAGTCCCTGTCCTGGTGCCTTCGGCGATCGTTGTCACGTTCGTCATATTGATCATCTCGGCGGTCGTCTCTCCTGCGGTCTCGATCGTCGCCATACTTCTCATCCCACTTCTCGTCACAGTCTTCTCTTCGCACTCTCCTCTTGTCCCACTGCTCTGAAGCTTCCCTAGCACCGAGACCGCCAATTACAGCTCCTGCAATAGTCGCAGCCGTATCGTACTTCCTGCCTTTTTGGACTTGATTGCCTATGAGGCCACCGATCAAACCTCCAGCGACAGTGGCTGCAATTCGATGATGTCTGTCTTTTGACCGCGACCTCGACCTCGATCTTGAGCGAGCATGGCGATCGTTGCCGCGATCTCTTCCAGATCGCTGTGGCGACCATGATGAGCGGCGTCTCTGGGGCTGCGGGCGGCGGTTGTCGTACTGGGGCTCTCGGTATTGCTGCTCAATGTCAGCGTTGCGCAGCTTATGGAATGAGTGGACCATCTACTTGAACTTCGTACCCTCGTGCATTATTGTACGGGTCGCTGCCGCGCATTACAACGGCGCCTGCATCTGGGCCTCGATGATAGAAGGTTTCATCAGACACATATCGCGTATCCCTCCGGTCCTGGTAGTCGCGCTCTTGCCGGCGATCAGGAGCGTACATGTCGGAGTTAGATTCACTGTCGTCTCGACCTCTCGAAGTATCGCGATTTGCGCGAGACGATTCGCTCGCTGGAGGGTTTCGAACCCCTTGTTGCTGCTGCTGGCGGTCGTGTCGCCGATGCCAAGATGGCGAATGCTTTCCAACTTTGTCAAAAGCCTTGTCGTGGTATTTGTCTACAACCTTATCAACACCTTCGAAGCCGAGTTCCTGAAAATCGCAAGCAACGGATCAGCAAAGCACAGCAATGTTGACAGGAACGCATCACCCCGGATTCGCGTACCACCAACTCTTCATATTCGCCCATGTCGTACGCCGCTAAGGGGTCAAGCAATGTTAGATTCCGAGCGTTCCGTACGGTGATGCCTCCGTCACGGTTATGCGGATGCAAATTTGGGTGCTACTGCAGACCATATGTCTTAACGTTGCGCCAGGAACCCTGTTCATGGTATGACGTAAGTCAGCCTAGCGGGAACCAGCGAACGTGGCTGCGGTCACTGCGCGGGGATCATGTTTGCACCCTGGAAAAGGCCAAAAAGCAAGTTCAACGTCAGCTTACTTAAAATGCGAAGTTCATGTCTGGTCACATATCTTGTTACGCCTTATCCAGCCACTCTTGTTGTATGTGGTACAAGGGATTGCCATGGCACCATGAGGCTTGGGTATGCTCAGCCTTCCAAATAACGAAAACATAAAGTGCTCGTTCGCTTGCCTTGCTAGACATCACACAACGACGACCCTTCGAACAACTGGATACAACATCAACCAACAGTTCAATTCATAATGTACGCTGATCAGCAAGTTGTGGATATGGAGCGTATCATCGGCTACACTTTCAAGGATCGGCAGCCTTGCTGTTGAGTGCCTCTACCATGGTGGTCTGCCCATCTTCTTCAACGGCATGCCCCACAAGCCTGAGAGGAACGAGCGTTTGGCCATTCTGGGTGATAGTATTCTCGATGTGATTCTTATCAGTAAGTGGTATCGCACTCGTAACACTCAAGGTAATAAGCTTCGCTCCTGCGTCACAAGCTGCTGACACGATGCAGGCCTTCTGCTTGCTAAACAGCAATGGACGGGCATTATTCGCGACTTGGTCACCAACAGTATGTTACGAACACGTACAGAAGAGAAGGAGTTATTGGGCCTGGGGACAGCGGTTATTGAACGTAGGGAGAACAGCCGTCGGAGAAGCCACGCCCGTTGTACAAGCTACCCCATGGCCACATGAGCACACTAGGACGATACAAGTAGTCTAGCGTCCTATGGGATGGGAAGCAAATGAGCCATGGGATTCATGGTCGCGAAGTGGGACTGGACGCTTGTGTTATCAAAGACCCTGGCTCTCATGATGCGGAAGAAGTGGGAAATAAGCCCGGGCCACCCCGCATCATCAATATCAACACAATGAATCAATACAACATTTTTGAACCAATTTTGACGCATTTTGTTCCTTGTTTCTATGCCCAAGATGTCAGATGAACCAGAGAAAGTTCAAAGGCATTTTGTTCGTCATTTTTTGACCCCTCTGCCAGTATACCAGCCAGATGAAGCTGCATACAAGCGTCTAATCACTCCCCAATGCTCTGCTATTCTAGGAGCACTACACTTCTGTGATGTGCTCCATATACCTTGTACCTTTGAAGATATCCAACACGCCTTCAATATCCCTATATCAACAGCCCAGAGAGTAGCCAAATCGAAACAACCGCGTATGCTCCTTCACAGCAATGCACCTGACGCACGTGGTGCCCCACAACAGCTCACCGGAACAGAGGCTTGGGCTATAGTTGATTACCTTGATTACTGTAGCTTTGAAGAGAAGACCGATACATGGCAGGACATACAAATAGCAGCTGGTGTTGTTGCAAAGCATGGGAAAGAGTGTCATCCTGACATGGCTTGCAGCCAATAACAATCCACCCAGTCACACCTCATGGAACCTCATGGAACCTCATGGAACCTCATGGAATCCCATGGAACCTCATGGAACCTCATGGAACCTCATGGAACATCATGGAACCTCATGGAACCTCATGGAACATCATGGGACATTATGGAACATCATGGAACCTCATGGAACATCATGGGACATCATGGAACATCATGGAACATCATGGAACATCATGGAACATCATGGGACATCATGGAACATCATGGAACATCATGGGACATCATGGAACATCATGGAACATCATGGAATCCCATGGAACAACACAGAATCTTCTGGTTGCTGACAAATGATTACAAATGATTACAAATTGTAACGACCGCAACCGAATGACCACCGGTATGGTTCCGAGGCGTTCCTTATCTGCATACATGTCGGCAGGCATCGCGCTGCTGTACTATCTGAGCCCCTGTTGGCACCTGCATGCACGATAAGCTAGTCTACCGCTCCGGGTCC